CCCGGGCAAAGGGTGGGACCCACTAACTCGGGCAACCCCACTGGCAAGAATCGCTTGGGCTGTGGCCCGAAGGCTGCTAACGTCAGCAATTGAAATCTAAATTTTTTATTTTTTTTTTTAACTGTTGGCGAGTGAATTTCACGGAGCAAAATGATGGAATAGAGTTGAGCATATCAGATTTTGAGTTGTCTATGGTTACTATACTAGGTTGAGCATATATGTCTTCATTGGAGCAAAATGATGGAATAGAGTTGGTACTCTTTTTGATATGCCTCAAATTGTAGAAAAACTTGTATGAAACGGAGATTGCACTGTTTTGCTATTCCTGATCAATCAAAGGCTATCATGTGAAAAAGTTATCACGCATGGCATACCGTGATTTGCAGAGAATAGCAAAATAGTGTTATCTCCGTTTCATGTAAGTGTTTCCCCTCAAGTTGGACAACTTTGCTGGGTTATGCTTCACATGCAGCTCACTATAGCAGTACTCTTATGTCTCAAGCTTTGGATTGGTGCTCCAAACAAAACAAAAATGCACTCTACTCTGCTTCAACTACAGCAAAATTCAACGCTTTTCTGCTTCTTTGGTTTAAACATTATTGTTCCAATCTCATGGTTGGATTCTCCACCCATGATCTTGCCAGGGGATGTTAGATTGTGTAGAACTAGGGTTGTGACAAGTGTCACCTATTGACTGATGCTTTAGAATTAGTTACTAAGCTGTTATAATCAGTTAGAGCCTTATAAAACTCAACTCTCTGTAATTGTATAGTTATCTGAGAAACAATATAGAAAAGTTCATCTTCTTCTTAATTCTTCTCTCTCTATTTCTCTTTCATTAACATATTCTAACTATAACTACTGGCCATAATGATTAATATAAAAGTACACATCAAGAAATGTATCATCTAATTAGCTAATGTGATTGAAAATGTGAGTCCTTTAACATTACACAGTCAATTTGAATAAAACAATATGTACTATAACTACCTCTCTTATAAAGTTAGGACCCATTATATTTGATTTGGGATTCTAGCAACATACAACATCAGCTACAATAACTATCAATCAAAAGTTAATACAAAACTTGAATCTTTGAACATAGTGATTCTCCAATTGTTGAAATCGGAGAGATAGAGGATAAATAGCAGACATACTCAACCAAAAGAACATCCACATGACCCAAATAGCAGAAATGCAACTAACAATCTGAAATCCACCACATATCATAGTTGAGGAAATAGAACCTCCATAGCCAAACATGGAATTGAAGTCAACAAGTCCAATCAATCTGAACAGCCACACTTTGAGTAGTAATCTTACAGAAAACAGACAAATCCCAATCGATGGATCTTTAAATTCTCAAATCAATGGAGAAGTACACGAAACAGCCACAATTCTACATACTTCCGCAAGAATTATTGTATGAGCCCATCATGTGACTTTGATATGCAACATATGTGTGAGCTTTACTATAGTCATAGCACAGACATGTTTTAAAAGGTAAATTATAAACGTATAAGAAGGGAAGTCGTGTATGACACAAAAATTCTTTAAACTCTAATATCATGTCATGTGGTTAGTTAACATCGTGATTAAATGTGATAATTCTAGCATTATTCTTTTTTGGAGTGAAAAGATGCATTATTGCTTATAAATGCCTAGCTGACTAGTGACTTAAAAGACATAATTATGCATCACATGGACCCCACTAAATAGTCAAAACTCCACATATATATATATATATATATATATATATATATTATATTGCAATCTTAACATCTCTTGGCTTGGCTTGGCTTGCAGGGCATTGTTCTATTAGCGTTGACCGAGACATTTAACTCGTTGAAGCCTCAACCTTGTGTGAAGGAACCAGAGCTATGCCAACCCACCTCCAAGCTACAGCATGCAATCTTGTACACAGCTATAGCCCTAGCAACAATTGGGGTGGGAGGCACAAGATACACCATGGCAACAATGGGAGCAAATCAGTTTGAAAACCGTAAGAACCAAGCCGCTTACTTCAACTGGTTCTTCTTCACCCTCTACGCAGCTACAGTGGTCAGCATCACAGCCATCGTCTATGTTGAGGACAATGTGAGATTAGGGTTTGGCCTGTGCGCCATTGCCAACCTTATTGGACTGGTCATTTACTTGTGTGGGGCCCGTTTCTATCGTTTTGATAAACCACAAGGGAGCCCATTTGTGGGTTTGGCTCGCGTGGTTGTTGCTTCAGCTCGGAAAAGGAATCTCCAGCACTCGTCTGGCGGAAGAAAGGATTATTACTATGGGCATGGTAGAGTGACAGATGACTTGGTGCAACACCTAGCACCAGCTTCAGGTACAAGCATTACTTTAAATTTCTAATGTTTTATTAGCTAACTTAAGATTTTAGGGTTAGTATAACATAGCATCAACCACGCTTTGATTTATCCTTTCTCTCATATGCCTTATCATTATTGACCAATTTCGTAACAGTTTAAGATCCAATGATCGTCTAACATCTAAGCCATTTAGATTTCCTCTTGAGAAGATGTTGATGTTTTTTTGTTCACTAAGCCATTTAGGTAGAATAATGCATCTAAGTTAATAATGTACCTAATGAAGGACAAAAATTAAAATCTAATCTATGATCAGAGTTTAATAACAAGTCATCTTGTCAGGGTTTAAAAACAGGTCGCCAATTAATGGTTGACATGCTAGAGCAGGGAGTGGTCTTGGTGATCAACAATGTAAATTGATTCGTCAGGACAGGAGGAGGAGCTAGCACTAGAGATATTAGATATGGTGCAGTCAAAATGGTTGTGTGTTCATCATGGCGCACAATTGTGTAGAGAGATTTCATGTAAAGCAAATGCGCTTAATTATTTGTGAGAGAAAAACAAAATGCACCAAATGCTTTAACTATAATGCTTTACGAAGTCTCATTATTTGGGTAGACTTTGTTGCCTAGTTGTCATCTCTTGGGGGCATATGATCCCTACTCATCCCTCTGTTATCGAAAGAAAATGATTTTTCTAGCTTTTAATCTAGTGGTATTTCTCTTTCTAATGTCGGAGGAGGTCCAAATTTGAATCCCCAGCCAAAGTCCCATTTTCTCCACTTCGGCCTTATATTAGGTGCTCCTAATAGCTTACTAATGCAATGACCCAATTGTTTACAAGAACAAAAACTTAATCTATGAAATGCAACAAACAGAAAAACTCAGCAAACGGCAACAATCGCCACAGATTCAAGAAGAAGACAGCAACACCAAGAGAAACTGCATTAAAAACCATCCAAGTATGAAAAAAAATATACAGAACCATCCAAATCATTTACTGCATAAAACATATGTGTTGGTAATTCACATCATGGACAGAAATTGACAATGGATAACTGAGTTGGGAATTCAAATTCTATCTTGGTATTTCTCTCGGATCCTAGCAGTCTCTGCTCGTCTATCGTCACCGCGAAAAAACTCAGAAAATTTCACCAAACAAACATATACAAATTAAAACTCAAAAATACCTCGAAGCACTGAGCTGGCTTTGGCATCTGGCAAGGCGATGAACTAGTGACGAAGACAACTGAGCAGAAGCAAAGAGGTTGGATCTGATGGAGGTAGAGCTTCATCAGATCTAAAAGGACCTCCAGAAAATCAGAATCGATCAAAGGAAATCCACTACAGATCTAACAAAAACTCAAAGTCTATGCCAAGAAAGACCTCCAAAAGTAGAAGCTTCCATTTTTTTTTTCCGATGAAGGATGCAGAGGTAGGAATCTTGGGAAAAAAATCAAACAGACTTATTTTTTAAACTTTGCCATCAAAATAAAAAATAAAAGTCTTTTTTTTTTCTTTTTCTTTTTAACTTAGAAAAGTACACTACATATAAAAGGGAGGGTGGCTTGCGGTGGTGGTCATAGGGGAATGGGGGAGAAGAAAACGGTGGTTCATGGGGGGTGGGTCTGTGATGGGGAATGGGGAGGAGCTCGAATGAGGGGGAGAGAGAGAGAGAGACCACGCACAAGATTGTTGTGTTCAAATTCGTGGTTTTCAGAAACCAATTAGTTTTTTTTGTTTGTTTTAATTTGGAATAATTCGGTGGTTGTGAATTTGGGGTTAGGATATTGATTTGAAAGTTTGGGGTTGTGTGGATGATTTCTGTGGGAACTAGGGATGCGAGGAAGGGTGGCTTGCGGTGGTGGTCATAGGGGAATGGGGGAGAAGAAAACGGTGGTTCATGGGGGGTGGGTCTGTGGGTTATGGGTTCATTGAGGGGTGGTAGTCATGGGGGAATCGGGTTAGGATGGGAAGGGGTGAATGGTCTGGGGGTAAAAAAAATTGAAGGAAGGGAGGTGGGGTATTGGTCTGGAGTGAAGGGTTGGTGGTCCTAGAAGGGTACGCGTCTGCATTGCACGGGAGAGGAATGATGAAGAATATGCCAAGGAGTTATACTCACTAGTCACTGTTACAGAGGTCCCTCCAGAGGGATTTACTAGTTTGGGCACCAAGGTGATCGACGAAGAAGACTGGACTGAACTAGTTTAAATCCCTTTTTTTTTTTTCCCTTCTAGTTAGGTAATTCCAATTTTGGCTGTACTTTTATTTATTTGAGGATGTGTACCGGTTTTGTCCGTCTTGGAAATTTCTTCTGTTCAAATTTTTCGGAATTCTTCTTTTTTGTGTAGAAAAGCCATAGGATTTTTTTTTTTCATTTTTTTTTCCTTTAATTTTTTTTAAAAATATATTTTTTAATGATTTGACGGATTATTGGATGACATATTGTTGATTTAAATGGTAGGGGGGAATTGAGAATAAAATTTAGTTCGAGCCTTTAATTAACTAAAAAAAAGGTCAGGGGGTAAATTGATAATTCGGTACAAGTTTAGGGGGTATTTCGGCAATTTACCCCAAAAATTCAAAAATTGAAATAATACTCTCTCTTGATAATTAGGTACAAGTTCAGGGGGTATTTCGGCAATTTACCCTACAAATAAATAAAAATTCAAAAATTGAAATGGTGAGTAAAAATATCTTTCCATATGTGTTCACTTTCAGCGTCTTGGTAGACACACTTTGTAAGGAGGGAATGGTCGTGGAAGCAGAAGGCGTGGTTGAGATGATGATTCAAAGAGATATTAATCCTGATACAGTTACGTACACTTCACTCATGGATGATTACTGTTTGCGAGGAGAAATAGGCAAGGCACAAAATGTTTTCGAACTAATGCTTAGCAAGGGCTCGATGGTTAATGTTGTTAGTTACAACACGTTGATAAATGGATATTGTAAGCTTAAAAAAATAGATGAGGCCATGATGCTTTTTCTGGATATGTCTCATAAGGGACTAGTTGCAAATACCTGTACCTATAACACTCTTCTGGATGGTTTTGGCAAAGCAGGTAGAATACAGGATACACAAAAGTTGTTCTCTGAGATGCAAGCTCGTGGCCAACTTCCAAATGTTCGAACTTATTCTCTTTTACTGGATGGCCTGTGTCAAAACCGACAACTTTCTAGGGCAATGCAATTGTTTGGAGAGATGGAAGCGAAGAAGTTGGATATTGATATTGTGATTTACAATATTCTTATTGAAGGTTTGTGCATAGCTGGAAAAATTGAATCTGCAAGGGATCTCTTTTGTGGTTTATCATCAAAAGGACTCGAACCTAATACACTACAATGATTAATGGACTCTGTATCGCGGGCCTTACAAGTGAAGCAGAAAAGTTTCTTATTGAAATGGAAGTGAAAGGCTGTGCTCCTAATGGTTGGACCTATAACACAATTATCCGAGGGTTCATCCATAATAAACAGACATCAAGGGCGATGGTACTTATTCAAACAATGGTAGAGAAGGGTTTTTCTGCAGATGCATCAACGGCGGAGTTGATAGTTAATTTACTGTCGAAGGATGAAGTAGATCCTGCTTTTGTTGCCTTTGATAAAAAAATCAATGTGAAATTAATATGCATTTGTGGACAATGAAATTTGGAACTGCTGCACCTTCAACAACCATAAAGGTGTTACAGTGGCTGTGCTTGTGGCAGGGGGTGAAAATGCCTTCTCACTTGCATCCTTAATTTCTGGTATTAATTATGTTTAATGGGATATCTAGCACTCTTTACCCTTTATCTATGGTGATTTATTTACTTCGTATTCCTATCACTTAGCAATCTTGCAATATATAAAAGGCCAAATATATAAATTTAGGCATGCCTTCTCACGACTCTCCTAGCTTAAAATGTTTCTACAGATAATTGTCTACTGTTTCGGATATCAGAAACCTCGACAAAACATAGACCATTATAGGTTAAGTCAATTGACATTGACTTCAAAACTAGTTATCTACAGAGGATCTTTAAAATCAAAGGTTGGTTTGTCTCTCTTCCCACATAATGTATAATATATATACTAATTGGCTTCTAGTTTGAGGATGAAATAGTGAGCCTAAACTTTGGCAATTCATTGATGTTCTGGAGAGGAGTGTATTATATTTGGGATAGGAGCTGATAATGTTCTGGAGAGGATTGAACTTGTGTTGAGTTCCAATTAATCTTTATGTTAACTAATTTTCTAAGTTAAAACTCTTTCGTTTCTTGCTTGGTTGGAAGTGGGAACTAATTAGCCATGATGGAAAATACTTGCCCCAATGCCAGGATTGGGATTGGAACTTGGAAGGGAAGGGTGAGTTTATAGAAAGTGGTTTTTGAAGATAGTGAACTATATTATATATTACCTATCAAAAAGAAAATGAAATGCTTTAATATGCAGCTAGTTTTCTATGCTTTCATTTCATATTTCCATCCATACAGAAAGTAAAACTCATGTGTGTTTGTAAACGCCTATATTTGTACGTGTCGAAGACCACCTAAGGCCATCCCCAATGGGGACTCTACAGGGGGCTGCACCACCATTGTATTGGGCTGCAATATATAGCAACTGAAGTAAAAAGGGCATCCCTAGTGGTTCAATTTTGAGGCTTTAAATGGTTGAGCCCAACTGGAGCTATACCCATATTTACGAACATATCATAATGTGTACACTAAATTGGGGTTATTGACCGAAATAGTCCCTCAAATTTTGCTCTGGTATCATTTTGGTTTACCAACTAAATTTTTCGTTTCAATGGTCCCTTCTTCATTTGGTATCAAAAAGGTCATACCATCAAAGTCTGTTAATATTGCCGTTAAATTTAAGGGTAAAATTGTCCATCTAAATTCAAATATTAATATAATAATTAAAAATTAAATGAAACTATTATAGGAACTTGTACCTAATTTTAAAATTTTAAAAAATGAATCTCACCACCACCAGCAATAAAACACTCACAAATCAAATCATACCTAGCTAGTCTATGTATTGCTCGTATTTATTTTCTTGAAAGAGATTCTTACGGACATTTACAATACAGGAGAATGTTAGCTATACATTCTATATCAAAAGTTATTTTCAAGTAATATGAAACACCATCACGTGATAACTAGTCCACATGTCATACAGAAAATACAAAATTGAATGCAAAAGACCTAGTTGCAATACACGATGTCCTAAGAAATGCATATGGAATTAAGAAGTTGTATTGGAAGAAGTAAAGCTTGTCATTGACGTTGACGTATGCAAATTTTGTGGGCAAACTTGTAAGCAATTAAGTAGCTCATTTCTTTGCAAAATAAGATTTATCTTGTTTGACCTTTTTTCTGTAAATTTTGGAGGAAGGGTCACTCCCACATGAGATCATTTCGTTAGGCACAGGGCATGCTTCTTTAATTAATTTGCAATATGCGTGTTTCAGACTTCATCAAAAAAGTACATCTAATTGGACTGCCATCTTCTTGTCTTTATCCTGACATCGCGTGTAAAATCATTCATTCCTCTCCCTAGTTTTCTGGAAATGGCAACCCAATTAAAATTTTGTTATTGTTGTAACTGCGGCTTTTGCCTCTTTTTCTAGTAATGATTTTTATAAATAGCTAGGGAACCTAAAATAATTTAAAATCGACAAGGGCATAAGATAATTGAATGCGGGTACATATGGGAGAAATTCAAACCTATACAAGAGTTGGTGACGAGTAATTCCAATACATGGGGTTCGTCTTTATTAAAAAAATGGTACACAATATAATTAATATAACGAGCATTTTCGTTAACCTATTAAGTGGATACTGGTAATTTAAATGAAAAAGTTTTGTTAAGTACCAGAACTTTCTTAATGAAATACATACAATAATAACGTCATGAAGGACTCTTAATTTAACAAACAGAAATTCAGGACACCAAAAATATAATAGCAAATATACTGCAGACGTGTTTTGTGGGTTGTGTAGAATTGAAGGATACTCAAATATATATATTAACCCGTGCAACGGGTTCATGTTAAATATCACACTACAAGTTGTAAGCACATCAGCAACTTTGAGCTGGCGTAAATAGTTGACCCTCCAACATGGATGAGTCCCTTTCCCACAATGATGAAGCCCATGCATCATCATCGCATTCCGGTCGCAGGCGCGGTGGTTGGATCACTTTCCCATTCATTACCGGTCTCTCTCTTTCTCTCCATCTCTTTCATTTTATTAGTTTGCTAACTCACAATAGTGTTAGTGTAGTGATTGTCGAACATAGTATCCGATTCCGAGTTATGATTATGAACTTCCATATTGCGCAGGGGCTTTGGTAGGCCTGACACTTACAGCCGGAGGATGGCTCTCAAATTTGATTGTATTTCTGATTGAGGAATTCAATGTAAAGAGCATCGATGCTGCTCAGATTGCGAATGTGGTTAACGGTTCTTCATGTTTTTTCCCAATCATCGGAGCAATCGTAGCTGACTCTCTCTTCGGCTCATTCTCCGTTATCTCAATTTCCTCCTGCATTTCCTTGCTGGTAATAAAATAGTCAATCTCTTAGTACATGCTTGTTCCATCTGTGCCTGTTCTTTTGCTGCTGATTTATGTGAACACATGAACAAAACTTTTGATATGTACTTGATTTTAGTTGCTATATTCACTTTTATTTGGCAATTGCTAGCTAAGTACTTGGGTGGAAATGCTTAATTTAGGGGCTTAAATTGAGGGACAAGTTATATATTCACATTTAATGGTTGAATTTAACAATATAACATCGTTTGGTCAATCTGATCTTAGATTGATCACGTAGAGATGAATTATCTAACAATATAACATATCAGATATCAGCATAACCTTTTAACTTGTTAAACTTCATGCATAAACTTGGATTCAAATATTTTGTAGGGCATAATTGTCTTAGCATTAACCGCGACGCTGAATTCGTTGAGGCCTCAACCTTGTGTTGTGGGATCAGAGTTATGCCAACCCACTTCAACATTACAAGATGCAGTATTGTATACTGGTATAGCTCTAGCTTCTATTGGCTTGGGCGGTACCCGCTATACCCTAGCAACAATGGGAGCAAACCAGTTTGACAAGCCTAAGAATCAAGAGAGTTTCTTCAACTGGTACTTCTTTACTCTATACTCTACTACAGCTGTAGCCCTAACAGTTATTGTCTACATTGAGGACAACGCTGGATGGAGATGGGGGTTTGGCCTATGTGTCCTTACCAACATAATCGGCTTGGCCGTTTTCTTAACTGGAACCCGGTTTTATAACATTGATAAGCCACAAGGAAGTCCATTTGTTGCTTTAGCTCGTGTTGTTGTTGCCGCTTTTCGAAAAAGGAAACTCCAGCTCTCCTCCGAAAGCAAGGATTATTACGATAGACATGATGGAGTGAAAGAAGGCATAGTGACTGGAACACTTGGCACCAGTTTCAGGTACAAACTTTACAGGGTTAATTACTTATATCGAAAAGTTATGCTATCTTACCAAACTTTTGTTGTCAAATAAATGCTTATGTTGTCAAAGAGTGAATCTTGGTCATCTTAGATTCGTAGTTTGGCGCAAGACAACAATTTCCTTTTTTGTATAAAAAAAAAAAAAACTAGTCAATGTCGTATAATATAGAGATCACGTAGAAATATGGGTTGAGAGCAGTCTCGGCCCTGCTCAGGGGCAGTCAGTGCGACTGCCCTGGGCCCATTTTTCAAGGGGGCCCCAAATTTTTTATTATTCTAATAAGTGTCATATTATATTATTATAAATTGATTTAATATTTTTTCATAATTTTTAAGAATAGGATATTGAGATGAATATGAAATTTTGGAACAAATGATCCATGACGAGAGTTTTAAAAGAAATTCTTTGATATTGACTTGACTTGCATTTTTAATATTCTTTGACTCACTGATATGGTATCCATAGTTGGACATTTGTTTTCATTATTTAGGAATATGGAAGACATTGCTCGAAGTCTAAAAATATTTTTGAATAAATACTTTCTCAAAAAACCCAATGCTTAGTTGATAAAACAAGAAGTATACTAGTATTAGTTATTAATGTGTGTAAAATTTAATATTCTTTGACTCACTGATATGGTATCCATAGTTGGACATTTGTTTTCATTATTTAGGAATATGGAAGACATTGCTCGAAGTCTAAAAATATTTTTGAATAAATACTTTCTCAAAAAACCCAATGCTTAGTTGATAAAACAAGAAGTATACTAGTATTAGTTATTAATGTGTGTAAAAGCATACTTTAGATTTTCGCCTTGAGCCTTTGAAAACTCATGACCGGCCCTAGTTGAGAGATCAATTCAATTTGGACTATAGAAATACAAACTTGATGTCCCCTCTTCGCATACAGATTCCTAAACCGTGCAGCACAGAAAATTGAAGGAGACATCAGATCAGATGGTTCCATTGCAAAACCATGGAGACTAAGCACAATGCAACAGGTCGAAGATTTCAAAACAATTATAAGAATTTTACCATTATGGTCAACAAGCATATTCTTAGGTACCCCATTAGCAGTCCAGACCAGCATGATAGTCCTGCAAGCTCTAAGCATGGACCGTCACATTGGGCCTCATTTCAAAATGCCATCTGGCTCCGTTATAGTCATTGT